GCCCCTCAAACCAGCAAGGTGTCCTAGCTGTCATCAGCCCATTGTAGAACACACCAGCCCCTAATGTTTTTGGAAGACGCCAAGACCGACAGCTATCACATCTCAGCAGGGCATTAAAATTGACCTGCCTACTAAAGTCTCTGCCTCTCAGGAGCTCTGCACAGAGGGCACAAGACTGCTGGGGTCAATGTGGCACTGCACTGGAGCCCTCAGCCCCGTGTTGTGAGCTGAAACGAAAAACGAGCAGGAGGAATAAGCATATCATCACACTGTATTGCTGCATAGGAAGCGCCTCAGGAGATCCCATCTCTTGGCACAGGGTCAAAAAGACAGAAAACTAGAGAGACAAAGAAGCTCTTCAACAGTGGCCCTTGGTGCCAAGCCTAGTTGCTGCTCAGCTCAGTATCTTCTGCAGTGCCAGAAGCATATAGTGACGGGCAAACTCTTTACACCAGTTTGCTGACACAGGGAACAACTTCGTGCTAGCATTTGAATAAGCCACTGAAGAATGATACCAGGAGAGCTGAAACCATGGTGATCCAGTTCTGGTGCAGAGGCAGAAAGTGTGATCTCACTGCACTGCACTGCACTTTCAGCTTGTCTGGACATAACAGTTCCTGAAAGAGGCGCTCCTCCGTGCCAGAAGGCATTTGCTGGCTGAGATATCACAGAAACTGCAAGGACCTGGAGAGTCTCAGGTCAGACAGTACAATCCAAAGAAGGCAATCCAGACAAGTTGAAGAAGAACATCTTGCTGGGGCCTGTTTGGCTGGCCTACTTGGAAGGGCAATACCCAGAAGTTTTCAAGGCACAAAGGCTGGAAGCCTGGTTTTGGTTCTCACCTGAGTTTCTGTATGCGAGAGATACACTAACTCACTCTGCTGTGTTGATGATGTGCTCTTGAAGACTCATAGCTATACATCTGGCTTTACACACTTTAAGGTTAAAACAGCGAGTAGGCTGCAGTTGAGGAACTTTTAGCATTGCAACTCAAGTATAAGACACTTCCAGGAAAAAATGTAGATAGTGGGGAGGTTAGGTGGAGGAAAAGAGGCTGATGCACAGACTGGCGAATTTACTTTCCTTCCTATTAGTGCTAGCTCTCTAGAGTGAATAGGTCAGAAAATAGTACTGGACAAGCACACTGTGGTGGTACAGTATTTGATAGCAAGACCTGACCACAAAGCAGTCAGAGTAACGCTCAAGTAACTGTTGGAGCTAAAATCCAGGGAAAGGAGCCAACAGCTCAGCTGTTTGTTCCCAAGATACAGAAAAGCTGTGCAATGAAAAAAATTCATTCTACACATGATGGCAACGTGGCACAAATGAGGAAAGGGCCCTCTTTCATCTACTTGCTAATACTGGTGAGTGACTGCAGAGCAGCAGATGGGATACAAATCTATCCAGGTTCTGTTCTGCTGAGTAGGAAAGGAGCTTACATTTTCTGTTGAGTCTCTGCTGCCTGCTAAGGAGGAAGAACGGTAGTCTCAGAAAGCCTTCCAAAAACTCAGAGTGCTAACTCTAAGTTTGTCTCTGGCTTTGCCAGAATGTAGAAATAAAGGTTAACTTTTTTCCTGTCTATCAGCAGATGTAAAAAAAAAGAAGATAGCACATCTACTTCAATAACTCAGAAATCTAGATTATTTTTTTTTTCCTGTATGGTTTAAAAGCTGGCAAAGTAAGCAACTGACCAAAGAGGACTAAATATAGAAGGAAGCTGTGTCCTCTAGGTCTCTGGGGATTTGTTAGATAGCCCTCTGTAGCACGTTTAGCATCTGTGTATGGTCAAACTTATACCTTATCATCATTTGAGGTACTTGGCTTTAGCTATATCACAATCTTCACAATGCTGAATGCTTTACATGAAGAGTTCTGTCAGGTTTTAAACAGGGCAACAGCAGGGAATAGAGCTGGAAAACCTGTTGTATATACTGCTGTGGATTGTTCCCATGTCTCTGGGCACTGTTCAAGGAGTTAGTTCATAGTCAGACCTGAACTGGACTACACCCACAGTGAAAAAAAATCCCCAAACCATCCAGAATAATAAAAACTCTTGCAGACACAAATAGCCGTGCTAATATGGGAATGTGCTGATGGATCATTTTCTACACACGAACTCACTCAGAATAACTGTGCAGAAGATGGCTCACACATCTTAACAGATCACCCAGAAATCGGACACTTCCTGTGGGTTAAGACTACATCAATGGGACTGTGATATCTGTAAGTAGCAAGTTGCTAAAACAATGCTTTTCTGAATAGCTCATTGCTCTGTGAATGAAATGGGTGAAAAAAGCAGCTTATTCCTTGTGAAAAAATGTACGTTTCTGAACAGTTGTGATTGAAAGCACAGAGTGCTGCTTTGAACTGCTCTGCTTATGTTTATGCTGCTATATACATATGGCAGAACTCCCAGAGGAGCTTTCAGCAGTGACAACGTCCTTTTGGTTTGCTATTTGGATCAATATATTTTACATTTTGAGCTGTCTGCTCCAAAATGTGTTTGCTTCCCCCATGTAACTAGTCAGACACCTCATTTTATGTAAAAGGTTTCCTTTTGGTCTTAAAAAAATGGGTTTTGGACACTGAGTCATGTGAGCAGGAGCAGATGGCATCCTCTAGACCAGTTGCAATCAAATGACACATAATCGTCACCTTTGGCTACATTGCAAAGAAACCATTATAAAATATGGCCTACCCACACAGAAAACCTTCGAGGTCTTTGAAAACTCAGTTTGCTTTAAATAAAGAAAACCTTTGCACACTCTAGTGTGTACACAGAGGCAAACACTTCCTTACTCTAAAATACAGACTGACTTTCAGTCTGAGCCATGTATCTGTGTCATGGCTGACCTCCTAAAGCCGTTACAGACTATGATGAGGCCTGTTAAGAAACCGGATGAAAACACCCATTTCACCATTTCTCTGGGTTATGCATACTGACCTATCTTGACTCATACCTCTGAAAAATGCCTGGTTTTGCCAGATAAAGACTGATTTTTCTGTTTATAATTCTGTCTTGGCATGAAACAGTTAATCTCAAAATAATTGAGATTTAACTAATTTCCACTTAAACTATTTATAGTTTTACCAACAGGTTACATCTAAGTTGGCAAGTTAAACACCAGCTTGTTCTGTTCAGAAGTGAAGCTGACAAATTTCAGGTTTTAACTACATCTTTGTTTCACTTAGGATATAAGAAAGCCTGCTCACAACACATGCAAGCTGTGTACCTGGCCAGACCAGCGCTACTGGGGCAAGCAAGCAGAATAAACACCATATTCACCTTTCCCAATATTCCTTTTTAAAAGCTTGGCAGAAAGTTTTCTAGCAAAACGAACAATGCATACAGGCTAATTTTCAGTTTCATCAAGTATGGCATTTTCACATTTTTCCCTTTTCTTAGGGATTCTGTGTACCATTTAAGATTCCTTAGTAAGGTGAAGAATAACTCCCAAAGCCCTGTCTCCTACCTCAAAATAAGGAATACTTCCCCTCAAACTCCTCCTGTATTCTTCTAGGAAATCCTGATCTAAACTAGGAGTCTCCAAACCCAAAACTATTTGTGAGGTGAAGTTGCTGGAAGCTAAGCTATAGAAGTTTAGCTAGCCTGTTGCAAAGAAAACTATAGCAAAAGTTTACAGTTACTTTCTCCACTCAGAGTGACAAATAGCATCTTACCGTCACTACAACAATGGTGTGGAAGAAGGTAACTAACTTCTTGCTAAACATTATTGTTACAATGACATAAGACATAGTGCTTTTCAGATGGAAGATAACAGCATTCACAGTGAATGTCCATTCTGCCCAGTCTCTACTGAATAAAATTGACATGGTTTAAAAAACTTAAAAAGGATTAATTGATGCCCAGTTGCTGGAATAACAATATCATCTTAGGAAAAGGGATAAAAAAGTGATACAATAATTTCACTAAGCAGTAGTTCAGTCAAGGAACACTTTTCAAAAGACAATCTGAAGAATGACGCCGAAGGTAACAACTGTGCAGTCTAAGCTATGAAGTATACTCTGAGTGAACCACTGCTACTAGGCTAGGTTACCATGAACATCATAAAGGTCAGAAAAAACAAAAACCTCAAGTCATCAACAACATCTCTGGAAATGCAACTTGTTACAGCTGAGAAAAACAGCCAGGAAGGCAAAAAGCTTAGAAACTACAAAGATTAAATTAGCTATTTATAAATACAGTAGCACTTAGCAATGTAGAAATACATCTAAAGAATTGTAGACCAGCACACCGTAAGAACAGACAGGAAGATGTCGGAGTGTCTGTAGAATAAGTTACTTAAAACACATCCAACACTCTCACTTAGCAGTAGTAAAAAATAGGGAAGTAAGGTAACCAAGGAATAATTAAAGTGTTGATACTTCATCTACTAACTATTTAAGCCCATGCATGAATATGAAGAAATATTTAGGCTGCAAGCGTTGTATTGTGGTAAAGTTTCTAGAAAGATGGAGTCTATTGCATAAAACAATTCTGCAACTACAAGAAAATGGAAAAAGTGTGTTCAAAATAATCATCAAGCTGAGTCAGTGTTGAGTGGAGTTTCAAGTGGCAAAATATCCTTTCTGTACAGCTTTGTACCATGAATCTCATTTCAAGAACATCGCTGGATGTTCTTTCTGTGGACAGAGAAAGAACAATTTGATAACACTTGGTATAATTAAACTTTAATGAAACACTGAAGTTCTTCCTAAAGTGTTACAAAGATATAATACATTTGTAATGCAAGTGTAAAGGCTTGACATTAAAATGAAAAGACTTAGTAAAAAATATAGAGTAAAAGTTACTGCAGCAAAACAAAGTCATTACAATTACACTTGTGGATTTTTTTTTTTTTTTTTTTAAAAAAACCAGCAGTATTGACTGGCACATACAGACAAAATAAAATACAGTGAGAGTTTTCTTCCTCCATACAGTATTCAATCAAGTAGCGCTGCAACAAACATTGATTTCATGCATAAGTGCAGAGAGGATTTTAAACTCTGCATATAGTACTAATTTCAGCTTTTGTACAGCCCCATTTGCAACACATTCCTGCCAAACCCAGAGATTCCCGTTTTCTTCTGGGATACCTGGCCCAAAGATAACTGTTTGATCCCATGGGGTCTGGAATTCCTGTTCCCCCCCTGTCCTTCTGAACAGCTTCCTCCACCTGACGAACAAGTTCTTTGAAGTCATCTGCCACAGGTACATATTCATTATAGTCATTTGAACTATCCAAGTCCTTAAACATCTCCCATCCAAGAAACGGGCTGGTTCTCTGCAGTTGCTCCCCTTCAGGACCTAAAATTGATTGCAGCTTCAAGTTTCCCAGTAGTTTGTTACCTCCTGTTTGTGCAGAATCTGTTGAAAGAGAAGACAGACTCTAAGTTCAGATTGTAGGAGCATCAAAAGGAACACATAGCTCTATGAAATAGCAGTAAAACCCATTTGGTTAGTAATATGCAAAGCACGGCTATCTAGGAGAACTGTCACTACTGCAGTCTCTACTCCATGATTTACTTACAGCTTACTTATAGGTGAATCCTTATGTTTTAAAGACTATGCTGCCTGTTAGACATGGAAACTACCCAGCTACAACTGTGACTAGGTATAGACATTTCATCACAACTGCAGTGTTACTGATATAGAAATCTCAATATTTCTATAGAAATAAATTTCTGTTGTAAAGACATGTACCCAGAAACCACAGAGAGCTATATCATGTGGCTCATGAATTAGGTTAGATCACTCCTTTCCCATGCACAATCACACAAACTAGCGTCATATGAAGAACAAATGTAGGGAGAACTAAATAAGCAAATATTGTATGTAAACTGCTTCTTATAGATTGTATTTTTCGATAGCTATTTTCAGCTGATGCGTTCCACTCTTTTCATTTCTCAAGGCATAGCAGAGGCTTGCAGAATTTACTTAGAAACACACTTTGTCTCACTGACTGAAGTGTTCTCAAAAATCCAGTTCTACTTCCTTTCACCTCATACTGTTTCTCTTGGCTTCTGCAAGGCAAGTGGCATTGCTTACTTCAGCTAATGTGAAAAAAGCAACTCCTTCAATTCTTAAGTCAAAAAAGTCCAAAATAAGTGTTTGTCATGTGCTCTTAATGCTGTTAATATGGTTTTTGTTTCAGAAAGCTGAAAGAACGTGAGAACATCCAGTGAATGTTGTATTTCCTTTAATATGGCTAATTAACATATAGAAGCTAACGTTCAGATGGAACAGCTGCCTGAATATGTACAAAAATAAAAGTGGTTGTAGTTACTTTACTAGTTAGACAGTAACTGCTATTTAGTGTCTTCTGGGGCAGGGAAGACTTTTCGTCAGCATGCAGCACAGTGGGGGCTCCTTAGTGACTGATGCTCTCAGAAGCTACTGTTAATAAAATGGAAAGAAAAGTTTGCTGGGAGAGAACACAATCCCAGTAGAGGCTGTACATAGGTAATTTGTTATAATCACAGAGGTAACTTATCTTCTACTCAACCTGTTGGAAACAAGCAAAAAACTCCCAAGAAACCCAAAATACTGGCTTCATTAACTGCCTGAGGTTCAATGTTATTTCATTAACAGCATGTCTAAGCAAGAAAAAAGCTCTTCCGTTGCACATTTTAGCCGTAATTCCAACTTTTGCCCTTGTTAAAAATGCTATTTTCAATATTCAAAATATCAACATAAATGAGAGTCATCACTTAAAATTACTCTGTCACATTACCGTAGCTTGAGAACACAGCCCCAGAAACATCTGCTTACACTTTCTTAAGGCACACCCAACAGTAAAATTCTCTGGGGAGTATTTTACCCATTAATTGCTTCACCAAAGATTCTTAAAGCAGTTCTTGCTGTTCAAACGGTAACGTGAAGCACCAGAGTCCCATCCACCCTCCAGCGTGCCAGCTCTTTTGCACAGAGCAGCACACGCGAGTGATAAAAACCCCAAACGGTTCCATGCCCAGCAATGCCCCGAGCACACCCCAGGAAGACGAGGGGCGCAGCTTAGAAGCTCCTGGCAGAGAGGGAAAATCGAGCCAGGCCTCCCCAGCCTGAAGAGTTACCCAGCTTTGGGAAGGGAGCGAAGCCATAGCCAGAGGCACGCCCTACCGCCTCCAAGGGTGCATCACACCTCCCTGCGTGGCCAAGAAGAAAAAAGTGTGATTTATTGTTTGTGGTTTTTTTAAATGCACAGAGTTCAGTGAGTCTCGGCCGCCGGCAGGGCTGCTCGGCCCTGTACCGACCAATGTCTCTGAACAGACCGAAAACTTCGCAGGTCATCCCGGCTACTAACGCCCCAGCGACTGCCCGCTGCCTTTTCCTCTAAATTTGCGGGTTTCCTCTCAGAAGCCACGGGAAGCGCCGACCGGCATCGACAGCGAGAAGGACGGGGTCGCTCCCTCCGCGCCTCCGGGCGGGAGGCGGGAGGGGCGAGGAGCGCCGCGGGGCGCTGGCCCTTCCCCGCTGCCCCCCACCCCGCCATTTCTCCTCACAGCACCTCTCCCCCCGGCGAGGCGAGGCGAAGAGAGGCACCCCGAGAGCCACTTCCTCCCGCGGGACCGGGCAGCCAGCGCCGCCGCTCCGGGGCCGCCTGACAGGGCTGCCCCGTCCGGCGCGGC